TGTGTGACACATGCTAAATTTAACTATGAAATATTTCCAACAACAAATAATTTCATCAAAAATTTTCTTAACTGTGCTGTCAGAATTTTTATAAAAAAATTCTGACAACACAGTTAAGGAAATATTTGAATCGGCAGGTAAATATACAGTACAAAGAAATGTTCGCACATAGTATTTTGGGAAAATAACTTGAATTTCCAAATGCAATAGGAAGACAAAAATACTTCATTCAGATAATTTTAAGGGAAGAATGCATTAGAGAATGATATTTTGATTTTCGAATTTTCATTAAAAATAGTTATAAACTTTCATATTTGAGCATTAAGAATTTATTATTTTGATTAACAATTTTTAATTTGAGTTTTGATTTTTACAACAGGTTTCATTACCTTAGGGAGAGGAAAATGGGACTTAAATCTCAATAGTCAGCAGCATAAACGACAATTTAAAACTTTGTCTACGGTGTACGAGATTCTACGATATCTGTCATATATACAAATAAAAATATCTTTGTTCTGTTATAGAAAGGGAAGGTATTGTCAGAACAGGGAAGGTATTGTCTTCAAGAACGATGGTCTATTCAGAAATTCATACGATATTTGCTTAGTCATAGTTCTCAGACTGTCTGGCATTAGGAATATTTATATCATCATTGCGAGATCTGGTTTATATGACACAACCAGTACTATGGTTGTGAGCTTTCTAAAAGCAAGCACTGGTTGAGCAAGCTGAGCTTTTAAAGAGATATAATAGTCAAGGTAAGGTGTCAATAGCCTTTATGGCTGTGCAAGATTTTCCTTAAGTTGCTATCGTAACAACGAAATCATTCTGCGATGGCTATCAAAGACCTATGCTCCTTGAATCTGAGATTGATCTGTTGTTACCTTTCCCTACAGCTATCCAACGTCAGTGTAGTGAATTTTAAAATGGGTTTGAAACACACAAGGAAACATTGTTTCCAAAAAAGAATGGCACGTAATATGCAAATAAGATTTCAGCTGAAAAGACTGCTGTACTCACGATTTTTAAAAATGAAAACTTCAAGCTGGCAAATTATTCATCTGATTAATGCAAATCTTTCAGTGTAAATATTATTGCTTGTAATGGCTTTAACAAAAAAGAAGCCATTTCATTTCTTAATGACACATTTAGAACACATATAAAAAATCTTACTTAAAACTGTAATTCTTTAAAACAAAAAAGGAAGAACCGTAACGAAAGAATAATACAAAATAGTAATTCCTTTTCCAACACCTGGCACCTTTTTTCTGCTACCAGCTTTCGGTTGTCGCTCGCACTATCTATTTTCAGAACAGCAATTAGTCTGGCTTTTAATCTGGATCTTGTTGGGAACTTTTTTTGTTAAATAAGGAAAGTTGTTCAAAACAATACATACCACGGTATATGAGTTACCATAAAGGGAAGCAAAGCTTTTTCTTACAGTCTGAAATTCAAATCTGACAAATATTAATATTTAATTTATGTAAACGAAAATGCTCGTAGCCACATATGATCCTTCAGCAAGCTGGTGTCTAGTTCTTTAGTTACCAAGGAGTAGCGAATTCTGTCTCTCATGTTTTTAAGCCATGATATCTTATGAAGCTGATCATATACCTTTTCGATTTGACAATAATATTTTCCATGTCAGTCACTTTGGAACATAACACGTTTGAAGTGCATTATATAGATGTAATGGAAATTAGGTCTTTTACAAATTTATTCATATCTCTATGCAAGCATGCCATGAAGCCTTCACATTTTCGGTCATTAAAGGGGATCTGTACAAATCTACACGGGAAAGTTTGGAAGTAAATCATAGTTTTCTAGATGTTTGTAAACCACTCTATTTATATCATTATATCCTCTCCAGTCACAGTGCCATATGAAGGTACAATGTTCAGTAGCTCATCCTAAGTATGGAATTCCGTATCACAAGTTCGAAGATATTTTGCAACGGAATATGCAGATAAAACTTGATCGCTTCATTTTCAAGATTGTATATGCACCTCTACATTCAATGGAATTACAGTATTTAATAATAATTGTACTGATTATGTAAATCTGTAAAGTTTAAAGGATATAACATCTACAGAACAGATAGAGCATCCGGAAGTAGAGGAGGTTTGTCCTTCTTCATTAGAGATGCCAAATATATTGACATATCGGCAGACTGGATTTCGTGGTTTCACTCTAACACGTTTTGTAAACTATAGAAAGTCATCTTATAATATTACTTAACAGTCTGTAACACAATTCGACCAACAATGAAGACAATTTCCGTTTCCCTGCAACAGAACTAACGATATCTCTACTTCATAACATTTTAAAATACGTCATTACGAAAAGTGTGCCATAAGGACAAAATGGAAAATACCAAAAAATAGAGAAGAAATAAATAATTTCTCCTCACTTTGTCAAATAATTTAAGTTAGGCTTTTTAAACAAAGATCTCTCTACTGAAAAAGCATAAAATTTAACAGAACAAGCATTTAGTTTATAAAAATCTATCAGTTAAAAAGCAAAAATAACATATAACAGTGTTTTTTTAAATACGTAGGTACAGTTTAAAAATTAGGATTAGGTTTATACAAGGTTAGGTTATTTGAACATGCCAAACCACATGAGAGCTATTTGCATAAAGAGCGGAATTCTTTCCTGGAGGACCTTAAATTGGAAACTAGCGCTTATTCACGTTACACATGGGAAAATCTACGAAAATCAATCATCCAGCCAGCGCATTAGCTTGGATTTGAACCAGGGTATTTAGCAGTCTCTAACCATTCGGTCACTTGTGGGACCTAAGCTTGTGCAAAACTGGAAGCTTAAAAAGAACAAAGTTCTTGCTTTTTACTTTCATAGAATCGTTGTACGTTTAACAATGTTCGGAGAGACCATATAGCTGCTTGCTTCCATCGTATTGTAAAATTCCTCTTTCGAAATGTTTTGAAATGGGTTTAAGTCTCTAGTTACAGTTTTCCAAATCATTTTTTCACTGCTAAAATAGTGACGTTAGAGGTGATACTTCACTTTAGGAAAGAGAAATTAGTCTACAGGTGTCAGATCTCGATAACAAGAGAACAGGTTGAATATTTTTACTCTTTTTTTCCCGAAACCGAAGTTTGTGTGACCGTGGTTAACCATCTCTCGCCAAAGTAGATAATCGCCATTTTGTCTCAAGGATTATAAGCATCACCTTTTGTTTGCAGTTAGCAATTTGTCCGAAATTTGTTATTGTTTTATAAATAGTTTTTATCGCTTTAATGAAAACCTCTGTTGCTATTCTTTGCACAGCTTTCAAGCGACAGCTGATTTTCATATGATCAAATAAACCGATTACGAGGATAAAAAATTATGTCCTTAAGTAGGCAATATTTTAGGAAAAGGAAGTTGAGAACGCCATGGTAATAAAAGCTTTCAATTAAAGTTTGTCAAATTTATTGGAAAGAATAAGCTTAAAATCGTGTAGACGCACTGTGTAGATCTTGAAAGATTAGACGCTGACACACGCTGAATAAGTAAGAATATTCACCGAAAAGAAAACGTCTTTATTTAATAGTGATTAGAAATGATGATGAACGGAATGATACGTATTCTTTAAAATTTTTGTATTTGTGCTGCGTTGTGCTAGCACATCGTCTGTGAGACTCATCTACGAGATTATCTGCGCAGTCGCAAAGCGTTACCATGGTTACCATTTTTTTCTTTACCATTGTTATTGTTAAAAAATAAACGAAAATGGCTGTTCTAAAGATTTGAAGTTGTGTTTTATTCGGATAACATTTTTATATACAAACTATTAATATCTAATACTTTTAATCAATTATTGTTTTGATAATCATAAAACGGAATAGTACTTACTTTTTAAACCTCCCATCAAGCTATATTGTACATAGCTAAGGGAGGTAATGTTTCCGGTCCAAAAATTAAATAATGAGTTTTTAATGAAAAATTGGAATTAGGATCCCAGCAGCACATTTTTGCAATTTTGACTGTGATGCTTATCTGTCTGCGTGTCTGTATGTGTGTTTGAGTGCATGTGTGTGACGATTTTTTCTGAAGTCTTAAATATAATAAGTTTTAAATCAAACTTCCAGAAAGCTATTTTCTGCGCTCATATAAAGAGCTGATTTTATTCTGAATAAAATTGAACAAACGAAAGTGGTGCTTTATTTGAAGCCCATAACAGATTTTAATGGCAACCGGAAGTGGTACTTGAAGTCCATAGCAGTTTTAATGAAAAACTATATTAAAGTATATTTCAAAGCTTTCCGAATTTAGTATTTAAGATTTAGTACCTATGGAAATAGTTTACAACTATGGAAACAATATATTAGATTTTGCCTAAGATTGATAAATCGGAACTGACAACTTAAGTGAAGCTCTGAATAGATTTTTTTGAAAAAAATATATTATGATACAATCCAAAACTTTTCAGATTTGATGTTTAAAACCTGTATTTACATATACGATGCATGCACAATCATAAATAAACACAACATATTAAATTTTGATTATAAATGGTAACCCGGAAGTGGTAGTTTGCTTGAAACTCTTAACAGATTTTCTTAGAAAAATATAAATTCACTACTAGAGCTTTATCTTAAATAATGCAGCACGTATTAAGACTATTTCCATTATATCTAGACATGATATTTATTTTTTCTAACCCTAGAAGGAATTGATTTTCATGACAGCATAATATTTGCTAAACTCTTGTAATGCAAGCGTGTTACCCGAAAAATGCACTTTATTCTCTCGCATCATTGACGACCAAGAGCGAATAGAAAATTCGGAAGGAGCTATTTTTTTATTTCTTACCTATTACTTTACGTCATTCTTGAGGAACCTAATGATCGTGGTAATTAAGGTTATCTCTGTTTAAGACACATATTTTTTTTGAAGTAAAGTATAAATTTTAACTTTGAATAATTGATTTTTATGCAAATTTAAAAAATATATTGAATAAGATTCTAATTAAAAGTATTTTATATTTGTTTCAGGAAGACCTTGAAAGGAATCAGAATGTGAGGACTCCACTTTAAGAGATGGAATATTTTATATTTTATTGAAATTATTTTCCTGCGACTATCAAAATAGTGCCGCTACTACATAGATTGAACAAGAAAATTTTAAAAACTAATACCGTATGACTTTCGGGGTAAACTAATAAAGAAATATTTCAAAGTTTAGAGAAATCGTTTTGCTTCAAAAATCTTTCATACCTTTATAATAATGGAAAGCAGCTAGATTTAAGAATCATTAATCTCTTCTCTGAGAAAAAAATGTGTTCAACAGTGTTAGACACTGTTCAACAGACGGTATCCGATGCTTACTTTTCTTCAAAAGATTATATCGATATTTATTTCATGCCTAGAACTAAATTCAGAAAATATTTTTGATAAAAATTTTTAATAAAAAGTAGAATGTAAAATTGTTGACAAATATAAATATGTAATCATAAAAGTAATAAAATACATTTATAAAGAAAATTCTGTACACATTCTGTACCTATGTAGTCGCATTCTCAAAGTTCTCAAGCTGTATATATAATCATACGCAAACCCATGCATAGAACATCGAATAAAAGAGTCCCATTCTTTCACAAGGAGAAATATTGTGTGAAAAACTAGAAGATTGACAATGGGAATACTTCATCTGAGAGAATCCTAAGCTAAGATTCAAAAATTGCCTGCCAACTGTACTCTATCATCGCTCAATGCATAGTCAAAATATGGTCTATAAGTTCCGATACAGTCTTCAATTATTAGGAAAAGAGAATCAGTAATTGTCCATGAAATCCTTAATTAAAATTCTAACATTTCATACCTGTAGAACTAGTATTCAGTTAACGCTTTTCATACATGCAGAGTGGTTGGTAGACGACGACTTAAGACAATAATATTCCGCAGCAAAAGCCTTCTTCTGAAATTCATATTCAGTGATATTAAAACTTGCCAGAATAATGATACATTTCTTACTATTTTTGAGAAATAAGAAGTTAGCTATTAATACCCGGCGTTTTTAAGTAGAAAAATGCTATTTAACTAAAAATATAAAGAAATATAGCATTTACTATGTATGTGCTATCGTGATGTAAATAGTTATCTCATCCAGCAAGCAAGGAGAACATCTGTGGTTCGAATCACTGAAAGGACACAGTTGATTCGCCACTTGTCTTGTTCCAGAAAACAAATGACTTTACAATGGTTCCCGATAGTTAACGTTAATTCGTCAACACCTGGATTTGGTCAATAGGGTGTAGAGCCTCCCACCAGTTGCCCTTTAAATGCGGCAGAATGCTCAAAATTATCGCATTCGCCCCCCCCCCGTGCATGCTGTCATGACGCATAAGTTTATCAGGCCCAGTTACAAAAGGAAGATCAATAACTCAAATCCTAACAGGAATTCAGTTCATTTTTCACGTTTCTTTCTCAGAAAAATTAATAGTATGTGTTTTTACAATAGCCAAATTATTAATAGAGTGTTGCAATTTGAGCGAATACAAATACATACCAAGAAAAAATGACGTGCTGATACCACAGAGTGAAAATTTAACAGTCATAATAGTCAGTAATGAATGAGTGAACATTAGCTGTTATAAAACTTGGTAAACCAAAGAATTTTTATTGAATCATCGAATAGATTTAAAAATCGGTTTTACTCTTTAACGTGATTGAATGTACTTTTAATCATTTAGCTTATGCGCAGATGTATAATTCACTAGAGATGAACTCAAATATTACTTCTGTTTGATTTTGGGGGTTATTGAACGTTACTTACGTTAAATGAAATGTAGTAGCTAACGAAAGAAATGTTAGAGATGTGACTGAGGCATAATCTTTAATGGCTGCTTTCCTTGAGCTTTATACAATAGATTACAGAGTATATCAACCCATGATATATGAGAAAAAGCATAAAACGGAAAGTAGGGTGATAGTTTGAGTGGTATAAACTTAACAATGATAACTGCCTTGTTACATCATTGGGGTCTAGTTGGCATTTCATTTATTTCGTTAGGCATTTGACTATGAGTCGGTGCATTTCTTCAAAGCCGATGCTATCCAGAACACTCTGCTACGTTTCTTCCCCGTTCCTGTCTTCGACAGTTACGTTCCATGTCAGGATTCCGCTCATCACATCCCCGCACTACGCTGGAGAGAGCCACGACCACTGGCCACGTCAATAACAAGGACGACACGTACTCTTAATTTGTACAGGTACACTTCTTACCGACTTCAGCACTACGCAAAGGCAAGGTGGAAAGCAAATATCCCAACAACTTCAAAATATGCTCTACGAAGACCATTAATGGAATCTTTGATGTGAAAATACCTGAGGCACTGCTTACATATGCACAGACGAGCTTGTCCAGACTCCATAAACATTAAGAACGAGCTTGTCCAGGACTTCATGGCACTTCATCAGATTTGTTCAGTTTCAAATTTGAAGTCAAAGCCTTCTGGAATAAGATAATTAAAGGCTTTTCTTATTTCGACATCAGCCTTGCCAGTTTCTATTTACCCTAGGGCTATTCACCACATAGGATCGAAAAATATAGATCAGACGTAAAATTTATGTGTTCATAGCAAGGTTTCTAGAGTATGATTTATTAACATTGCACGATGATTATATCGATGTATACGATTCATCTCGTAATGCTGATTTTTAAGCAAAAGCAGCAATGAATGTTTAAAATGCAGCTTTCAGTTACACTGAAGTATGCAAGTCTCTAGTAAGAGTTATTTTTCTTACTTGAACTCTGCTAACAGTTTTAGTGGGAAAAAGAAAGTTATTTCTGATGCATGCATGCCATCCGGCAAATCCAAGAAGTGTGAGAACAGAAGGCGAAAAATAAATATCATGCCAACTTTAGAAAGCCTTGCAACTATGTCTAGGACCACTTTAAATTCCCGTTCTAATAAAAAAGATCTAATTTAAAATATAGCTGAAAATGTAATCCAGTTTTTTACGATGGGTAAAGCACTAGTTAAAATTGTCTAGTGCTGCTGATTAGTCTACATAGTGATTATATATCAAAAGTTAAAGTTAACGTGATAAATATTATCGAAAGAAGAAGAATTTCGAATTAAGACTTACTTAATTCAAGTTAATTAATTTTTCAATGTTGATGTTCCAAAATTTTTGCCAGACATCTTTCTATATTTTATTTTAATGTTCATATTTTATGTTTTTTAATCTGAGCAATAACTTGCTTATAAGTTTTAAATTAAATATATAGTTCTAACTTAAAAATAGGATAGTAAAACTTATGAAAAAATTAACATGATTCAAGATTAAGATACTTTTATTATGTGTTTTATTATGCAGATACACTATAGAAACTCAGGCTCTTATACTCAATTAAACACTTTCTGAATATTTAATTAACCGCTTTAATTTGAATTTCACTTGAGGTTTGAAGCATTTTAGATTATGTGTACAGAAACTGAAACAATCAGACGCATGTAATAATATCAAAAATAGGCAAAGCTTTCAATAGCTACTCGTAATAAGACAAAATAAGTCGTATTTAAAGGAAATCAGTATAAAAATTCTAGAACTAGTTAAAAGTAGTCAGATAAGTGCAGAAAATAATTCGAATTTTTTTTATTGATAAAACTTAAATAACAACCACCTGCTAAAATTAAGTAAACTACCTTTCGGATTTCAACAAGATTTCCTTTTTTTTTAAAGTGTAGAAGCTTTTAAATTTTATTCGATTTCTATATCATGTATACTCTTTCTAAGGACGTTTTCAAAATGTAGTTTTGGCAGTTTAAATAATATAATCCAGCTAAATCAATTTAGAACTTTCTTTGCCACATTTCTTTTTTTTTTAACTCACCGTGAACATTATAAGAACAAAAATAATGCATTAATTAATAAAAGACTGAAAACCTATGTCTACCTTTCACTCATTTCTTAATTTTCTTTTATCATGATGGAATTCGATCGGTATGCTTTATTGCATTAATGCTAACGGACTCATGTACGCGTATGAAGAGTCTGTAAGTTCTTTTTTTTTTTTTTCAAATAATATCTGTATTGTGGGCAGATATTTTTCAATTAGGAGCTCCCGCTTATCAGTAAATTTTGATACTTAATGATACGGATAACCTCCAGACAAACAAAATTAAACCTTGCGAAATCCTTACTTCAATGCCCGGCTTTTTTATTTTTCGCACCGAAAATCAGATCAGTTTTAAGTAGCTTATTTGATAAAATGCAATCAGTCTGGCATTAGCATATATGAATCAACACGTCAGCTTTTTATAGATAAAGTATACACACTTAAGGCAATCTATTGAAAAATTATTTACCTTCTTGATTTTCAAGAGCTTTTCGACCAAAACATTAAAGAATCTGTTGCTATTTATCTTCAGACTCTGATACGGAAAATGTTAATTTAATATGGTATATCTACCAATATACCTTAATTAAGAAAAGCATATCAGTTAGTGATGCTGTTTTTGGAGGTAAATATCAGAATTCCATAATTTTTGCGTAATAATATGCATATTATAATGTATTTATTATAAAAATGTGTTTATATTGCTTTTAAACCATTCAATTAATTAAGCAATGTAATGCTTTAACTAAGATACATTAAAGATGTTATACCTCATGAGATGACAACACTTACTAAACTGCGTTGATGATAATTGTCTCGGAAACATAATGTAATAGTGATATTAAGGACTAAGATAAAAAAAATGGGTTATGAATAAGTAAAGTCAAGGTCGAGTTGATCCTGGCAAATAAGTATGTTTGCCAAGATAATGGCAGGAACGGGGAGACGGGAAAAAAATAATTTATTTCTTAAGAAACAGTTGTGACATGTAATAAATAATTTAAGCATAAAATAAAAACACAAAATTACAGTTTAGTCTTATTAAAGTAAAAATTCTAAAGAAGCTTTTCAACCAAAGTACAAAATTGTTACATTAATTAATGTCATTCAATTATGCATGCCAAATTAATAGTTTTGAGGAAGTTTCCAGGAAAAGTTTATTTCTAGTATCACAGGGAAAGAAAAATTTTAAAATATCCTTTCTGTAAAAGCTAGCTCAACAAATCAACAAATTAATAAATGTGTAACAAGTTTCCAAACTTTAAATTCACTTTTTGAAATGCCGCTAACAAATAAATTACTTTACCATTATTTGTAAGCTTCAAAACGACTAGCGAAAATGCAAGTTTCGGGTAAAGGTGACTTTTCAAGGTAATTATTTTTGCAAGAGGTATGTAAGAGGAATCTATTTTTTGTAACTACTTTCGACTATTTTTCTTTTGTCATTAAATTATAAAGTAAAATTAAGTGAATAAAACAATATTTGAATCTGAAAAACAGGGCATTGTAATAAAAATACTATTAATGTTCGTTAATTATTCTGCATCCTAACCGAAGCATTTGCAACTAGTTTCAAATGCAACAAGAGATCTTTAACGCTACAATAAAGATAAATATTTTCAGCATTTAAAATAATTTCAATAACTTAAAAGGTATGTATAATGATTGTGATTCTTAATAAAAGTTTCAAAACAACTGTCAAAGTAAGTCAACTTATTTGCTTTACCAGAGGCCTGAGCGGTAATGTCAGTAAATACTGTTTTTCTATCCTCGGTTCAAATTCCTGTGAATAGACTGACTGAATGGGAGTTTTCATGTTTCTGCTCACTTGTAACGTGAACAAAAGTTAGTTTTCTTTAGAAAGTCCTCCGAGAAGGCATTCCTCCTCTTGGAATGTTCCCCTTTGTGAATCGATGAACTTAGTCTAACTTATGTGACTTTTCCAACGAGAACAGGAAGATAATTGTTGTTTTACATACTCATTACATTCTTTTACTAAAGAAGCTGCAACATGATGATTGATTCGAGATATACTTTTACTCTTTAACTATTTGCTTTTCTGTGGATGACAGTGTTATGTCTTTACCTAGAAAACTAAGTCAATGAACAAGACATCAGTTCGTCATAGGTTTATCACAGTCTCATTCTCCATATTTTTTGACACTTTTTTGTTAAGTAGTCTTTTTTAACTCAGAATTTTTTAGTAGCATTTATTGAGGTTGGTGGAAAAAAACATGTATTCTTTTCCACCAAACTCAATAAATGCTACTGTAACTGAGCCATTTCTCCAGCTATTAATTACTAGGGTTATATTTTTGGTAGCTATTATTGTTATCATTCCTTGTTTATTTTTTTCATAAATACTGGGGAGATCAGTCGTAAGAGATTTCCTGGTACCTTGGACAAAGAAGTTTAAGCATATTTTTAAAATTCATTTCTCACAACTAAATATTAATTAATCATTAAATCAATTAATAAAAAAGTAAAAATAAAAACTTTCCAGTATCTTCTTTAATTTTCCCTTTCTTCTGATCATTTGTTATGTATGCATATGCATTCCAAAATTGCTGAATTACTTTACGCATGTTAGTCTATCCTTTGAATATCCCACTTTTCAGCTTGAGCGGTAGGAAACAATTAACTTATCATCTTCATAAACGGTAAGGACAGATGGCACATAGCTGCATTTTTCAAGTGAGTTTACTCATACTGATTGCTTTGTTATTTTTCATATGGCTTTTCTCATTTTCTTCCACTTTTAATCGCTTTTAGATTAATATTAGAAGCAGTTATGATACTTTGTTTTCTAGTTTAAAAGATTTAATAAAAAGCATGTTTACTCGCTAAGAAAAGGGCAAGTTTATTTTCAGAGACTAAGAAAAGGGTGAAAATTCTTCATTAATTTCGATGACGAGTATCATTATATGTATAAACAGGGGCAGTGTTTTGCATGATATAAGAAAATAAGCATCTAAGTACTGACTAATATGCCATTCACCTCAACAAATAATAGTTGCAAATTTATATTTTAATAAATGTATTACATTATTGTAAATATAGTTCTTCTTTCTATTTTAGAAACCTTTTTTCCTTAGCTTAATGTTATTATAAAAGTAGAGTTATGTAATTAACGTATAAAAACATATAAAATATGTATTATAGTTTATGGTGTTGGGGAGGTGTCCACCAAACAGTTGGGTTGTAAGCAGTTAATAAATTTTAGATGTTAAAATTAGATTGCGGAATTTTAATAGCGTGCGAAAAAGGAGAGGAGCGATCAATGTTTCAAATTCTTTCATTCTTCAAAGTCCATTGTATTTGCTAGGTGTTAATAAATTATTTCCAGCAACAGATAATTTTTAACAGTGTTTGTGGAGAGAGAAGGAGTAATTTTTTTGGGGGGGGGAAACCAAAATTCAGTCAATATTTTAAACTGAGGATTAATCGACTAACTCTCTTCTATCTAAAAAATTCAGACTGTTTATTGCGAAAGTATAGAAAAATTATTATCACAAATCATTAGTGTAAAACATAACTTTCCACAGAAAATACAAAACAAAAAAAAAAAAAAAAAATGCTTGGTATAATAGAAGTGGCAACAGATGATATCTACCAAATGAGCTAGTTCTAATGAACATTTTTATTCGAGTTTCAGCTCAATAAAAGTGTTCAAGTTTTGTTGTAAATATTTTCTTTAATGTATCTATGGCTTTTTTCTTCATTTCTGATAATGTTTATTTATTTATGTGTTAATTAAATTGTTTCTGTTCCGAATATCGATCTCGTTCACGTAGCCAAGTGAATTTATTATGCATATTATACTTTAAAAAAAACAATTAAATTATTAACAATATTTTTCTTTTAACAATAACATGTGCTATTCCTCTTTAGTGCATTTTTTAATTGCTCTCGGATTCGTGATTTTGAATAAACCGTGGAAGTCTTTCCCGGTATTAGCAGGTTAATTCGGGAGCTGACTGAGGAAGAAACGAGTATCCGTGTGTTAATTAGATAAATCAAAGAGAAGATATTCTGAAAGTTACATCGCAGTCTCCAATTCAAACCAATGCTTTGTTCCATTAATTTCATTTAGCCTGCTCCCGATTGCCTTTTGCTCTTTTATTTCCTCGATAGGGCACAAAAGGAAGCCATTATATGAAAATAATTTCCCCAAGAGTCTGTCTCCACAGTAGTCATCTCTTCTACCCTAGAGGCAGGACGTTACCCTTCAAAGAAATAAAAAGCAAAAAGTCAGTCACGAAACTCGGAAGATCACTCTTGGTGTTACAAATGACTGCATTAACGCATAATGAACGACGAGTGAGCCAAGACACGAATTAATGCACAAGCCCCTGTAGTGTTGTCTTTCGCATTTTGTGAGCAAGTCCTTTCAAACGCCGAAGACTTTGCGGGTAAAGGGGGGGGAAAGGTTCAAAAGTCCTGTTAATGTATGTAATCGCCAACACAGTGTCCGCTTGACTTGTTGTCACTATTTAGAGGTCGATGACGTAAAGAATTGTAGTATTTTGTCCTAATTATGGTCGATTACTTTGAAGATAAAGTGATACAGTATTACCGAATCACTTATTTGGAAGTATTCCAGAATGTGTCTTCAAATAACCGTGATTTAACGTGGTCTCTCAATTAGCCAACACGTAGGGTATTTTTTTTTAGCTATGAAATGGATCAGCCTACTTAGGAATGTTCAGCTTTCGACCAATCTCTTTTTCATTATTGTTTGTTCCATTTCGTATACAATTAACAGAAATTCCTCTCTGCATTTATTTTGCCATGATTCGTATATTTAATATTAAAATTTTTAATACCATCTTATGATACTTTATTATGTGTATAATCAGTTTTAAATAGTGCAATATTTAGTTAACTTAGTTACGCCAAATCCCTTTGCTGTCAGAAACCATGCATAACTTTTGATTGAACCAAAACTTAATTAGGGACATCCTAAAGAACATTCTAAGAAAAACTGGCTCGAATTTACGCTGCCCATGAAAACTATCCCGAAAATCTCTCATGCAGTCACACTTTTCTGAGAATTTAAAAATGAGACTATCACATTTCAGGGATGTTAACCGCTCAGCCATGAGCACCAAAAAGTAAAAAGGGTATTCAATCAAATTTTAACTCGAAAATTTGCAAAACCTCACATACGTATAAGATTAAAAAATAGGGTAGTATTAAGGGTAACAAAGGAAATTTTAATCTGATCTGGTATACAAGGGAAATTTTAAACTACTTAACTTGAAACTAGAAGAGCTATGATGTATCACCACTTTGATCCAACATAAAAAATCCTTTTTGCTACCGATGTTCAAAGTTAAATTATAGTATACATAAAAAAAATAAAAAAATTTTAACAATCAACTCAATAATTTTACTCTTCTTTAAATATTTTGCTTTAGCTGATTGTGGTAAAGCACATTGGACATTAGACTATCTGCCTAAGAAGAGGGATGCTTCGTGAAGAACTTTCTAAGGGAAACTGGCTTCTATACAGGTTACACATGGATCTTGTTTAAAAGAAGCATGAAAATACTTGCATGTTAAATGGTAAATGGCTAAATAGGAAGTGAAGTAGATGCAAAATACAGGACTAAAAAATAAAAT